TCCTCAGCAAATGTCAATCAACAAAGGAGAAATATTGACTTCCTCAGCTGCCACCAGCTGTCCTGGTTCGATAACTAGGTCAGCTAAAGGTTAAACCAGCTGAGACATGAGGGGGACACAGCCAGGACAGCTGACCCCAGCTGGCCAAAGGGATATTCCATACCACAGGGCATCATGCTCAGCATATAAACTGGGGGGAAGCTTGGAGCAGATTCCCAGGCCCTGCCTGGCTGTAGCTCTCCCATCCCTCACCCCCTCCTCCCCTGCCCCGCAGTGCTGGTGGCCCACGTCACAGCCAGGAACACTGAAGCCATCTCATGTCTAGAGGGCTAAATGCATCTCAGATGTAAATCAGTGACATTAAACCAGCAATGAAATTAGCCTGTTTGCTTTGATGTACCCTGCTGTCATATATTAACAACTTTTTGTATTATGTAGTAAATTCTGTCAAAAATCATAGTCCAATTCCAAATTCTACCATTTATCAAGCCTAATGCAACTTTAAGGATGTTATATAGTATTTTTCTGGGGTTTTTTTTTAATCAATGATAGTTCAACATACTTCCACACACTTTTTAATTTTCCTAGTGGCATGTAATTGCATTTGAAGCTTAAGATTTTGCAGCTTTGGTGGGAAAGACACATCTAGCTTTCCACACACATGTAGGCAATGCATACTTTGGAGATAGTGTAATCTGAAATTCTTCCACTGAGAAAATCAGAACGACAACTAACAAAACTGCTTGTGAATCTCAGAGCATTTTTTACGCAGTGAAAAAATAATTCCCGTGCTAACACTGCCACCTATTGCCACTCATTGAAAAATAGGAGAGGCAGTCGTAAATCCCTGTTCTCATCTCTTCTTTGGTATTGGTTGCAATGCTTTCATGTATAAATTCCCTTCGCTGCTGTCTTTAATAACATAGTGTTACCAGGAAAAAAATGCAAATAAACTAAAACCAAGTGACACGTCAAATACATCTGTATAACAGAGCATAAAGTCTCTCCAGAACAAAATCAGCAATGTATGGAAGTCTCCCTGTGAGCGGTGACAGGGAGCTACTGAAGTCCCAGAGCAATCTGGTCCCATACACAAGCATAGCATGTATAAGTGTATAACATGATTCAACACAACAGAATTCTCCACTAGCTGGGATCTTCCCTCTGGGGAACTCTCAGAGAGCTGCACCTTTTTCTTTGTTATTCTCTCCCTCTGACCTCTTGCTATTTTTACCCCATCTCGCCAATTTTAAGATCAAATCTTACATGATTTCTTTTTCTTGACATGGCTTCTTCATCTGTCATGTAGTGGTGGTTTTCCCTCCATGCAACCTGTTTCTGTTTCCTTGCCCTGGCCATGGGAGGTTCCCTTATCTACGAGTTCCTCTGATTCCACAACTCCCTACCTGCATCATCCTTTTACCTTTACCATTTACAATTTCGTAAGTATTCCTGTCACAAATTATTAGCAATCATAGAATCATTTAGGTTGGAAAAGACCCTCAAGATCATTGAATCCAACCATTAACCTAGCATTGCCAAGTCCACCACTAAACCATGTCACTAAACGCCACATCTACACATCTTTTAAATACCTTTAGGAATGGTGACTCAACCACTTCCCTGGGCAGCCTGTTCTAATGCTTGACAACCCTTTTGGTGAAGAAATTTCTCCTAATATCCAATCTAAACCTCCCCTGGTGCAACTTGAAGCTATTTTCTCTTATCCTATCACTTGTTACTTGGAGAAGAGACCAACATCCACCTTGATACAACCTCCTTTGTAGAGAGCGATAAGGTGTACTCTCAGCCTCCTTTTCCCCACACTAAACAACCTCAGTTCCTTCAGCTGCTCCTCATAAGACTTGCTCTCTAGACCTTTTACCAGCTTCATTGCCCTTCTTTGGACACACTCCAGCACCTCATTGTCTGCCTTGTAGTGAGGGGCCCAAAACTGAACACAGTATTAGAGGTGCAGCCTCACCAGTGATGCATAAAATGCCCATTAGTAGTCAAACACTTAAGTCATGCAATTTTACAATAAATACCTGTGAACAAGGATTTGATTTTTGTTATTATCCCTACCATTCCAATGAGTTACCTCTGCACCTACAGTAGATGACCTAAATTGAGCTCAGGAAAACCAGTTGCTTTCTGCTTCACTGACTCACTTTTTTTTGTGCAGTCCCTGCTCCCGCTGTCAGCTTTTGGTCAAAGTTTTTCTCATTAGTATAACAAAGATGAGGTACGTGAGGGATGTAAGAGAGCTGGCCTCAGGTCTAAAAAAAGACCCAAGGATACCTTTTTATGAACTTTGCTAATATGAATTAAAATGTTTTTAGGAGATCAACTGTAATACCATATACTTTAAAACAATGCTCCTCTTTTCTGCGATTAACAAAATTATTCACTCTACTCAATTAAGACTAAGGCTTGCTTAAGACCCTTTTTTTACTCCCCCCTGCTAAATACATGG